TGTTTTTTTTACTTCATAGTCAAGTGATTACTTTAATCAGGCATTAGCAACCTGATTGTAAGATGGAAAAGCATCATCGATAAGAATGGAGACTATTTCACTTAATAAATGTTTTGTTTTGATATATAAGTTCTTCGGGTTTTTCCATTAATTTCTTAACATCCTAGTAACTTGTTGATCAGTGCCTACAAATACATAACCAAGAGAAGAAAGGTTTGTAGTGAAGGTTGGCAACCTACAACAAACAAGGAAATTCAAACATTCTTGAGAATCGTTATTCTCCAAGGCACAGTAAAATAAAACCTGTCAAAACAGTGGTACTGCTCTAAAGATCAAGTTGTAATCACTCCAACCATTGCAAAACACTTACTGTTTCGAAGATATATTCTTTTGAAGCAGTTTCTTCATTTTTTGGACACGAGTCATACAATGAAGCCTCCTACCCCCACCCAAAATTAAATAAAATAATGCCAGTTTTTGATTTCTTGAATAAGAAATTCATGAGTAAAATTACAACTGACAAGGATGTAACTATTAATTGGGTTCATTATGTGCCAATGAACAGAAACCAGGTTAGGGAAAAAAATCCATGTTGTACAAATCCAAGTCTGAATATATATATATATGTAGCAGCATCATTTACACATGGAAGGTAACTGCTTTAGGTGAAGAATACAAAGACTTTCCAATAGTTTCCCAAGTTGTCTTGACACTAATGGAACCTCTGTTAGACAAGGGGTATAGTTTTACATAGTCACAACTTGAAGACACCCCTATTTCTCATACAATTGACCTATCTGGAATAGTTTGACTAAGTATGAAAGGCATACCAAAAGAATGAAAAACTTGAAGAAAGGAGAGGTAGCAGAGTACCTATTAAGAAAGATTGCAGTTATAAAGATAGAAAAAAAGATTTTTCATTACTGCCAACTGTTTGTAACTCATATGTAATCGAAGTTCAATTACAATGTCACAATGAGCAACAGTGACAGGTTGGATTAGCACCTTACTAACTAGCATATAAAAAGCAGGGTCAAAAATACTACAAAAAATATTTTTTCATTTCATACACTAGGCCATTTTGCATTCATATGTATTATAGCAAAAGTGGAGGCACTAGGAAACATCTTGATGATCATGGAAAAATACCACTCTTCAGATTTTGCATCCACAGGAGGATGTCCTGGTAAGCAAACAAATCCACTCTGAATAACAGGACACCACTTCCCAGACATCATATCTTCTACCAATAAAAAAAACAAGCACTACAAAACAGTGTGAAAGAAGTTTTAATACTGTTGCAAGGACTGCAGTGTAGAACTGTGCAATTCCCTGTAGTTTTGTGTGTATCACAAAAGGAAAAGCTTATACAAAGTTCAATCATGAATAGCAAACTTAGACAAAATTCTGAAATACTAACTCTACACAACTCATCAATACTAACATTAACACTACCTTTAATATACTGGCAATGGGTTCAAGATCAGGAAAATGAAGACTAATACTACAGATGAAGACAGCTGACATAACACAAAACATTTTTATTTAAAGAAGATTCGTGTGTTTTGGAATATGCTTATTCCATCTTCAGCAATATTGGAAAATGATGTTTATTAACTAATGCTACAGTATCATCAATCACTAATTTACTTAGGTATTCAGTAAAGTGGTAAACAGAAGGAAAAACAGATGATATAATATGTTAGAATAAATTTAGGTCTAAAGAGGTTTGTAAGTTGTTAAGAGTATTGCAGTCTTTAGTTATGAGTAAACTTTTATTTAATGCTGAATTCAAGGTCTGATGATACTGTAGTAATGATAAAGAAATCATTATATGAAATATTGTGACCAGTGGTTTCAACATGTGAATGAACAGATGAGTGCTGGGTTTAAGCAATGGACAGCTAGTTCTATCTGATACTCTTAAATGTTAACATTCTAATTTTCAAAGTGACATTTTGTTTTGCCAAGGTATGTGACCTAACAGTCACTACACATGTACCTTATACATGAGCTATGATTGTAGACATGTAGATATTTGATCTTCATATTGAAATAAGTTTTAATGCAGAGGCTAGGTCTATATATATTAGATTGAGTTGAATTTGCAGGTACAATTTTTTTTATCAACAAGAAGAGTTGTTTTTAATTTCTAAGGATTGTGAGCCCATAAAAAGAAAGAAGATAATGAGGGGAAAATTGTTGATGGTGTGCAAAATAGTTGATGTTTAAAAACTTGAAAGTAATGTTTTTTAGAAAATCAGTTGGATAGCCATTGTTTAACAGGTGTTTGTGCAGAAGTGTAATTTCTCCATGTAAAATAGGGTAATTTGAGCAAAGATTAAAAATTATATTTAAGAGTAGCATCACATTCATAACATACTCCGTAATCTGTTTTCTTTCTGTTTACCGCTTTACTGAATATCTAAGTAAATTAGTGATTAACAATACTATAGCATTAGTTAATAAATACCATTGTGACATAATTTTCAGTTTTAACTGAAGAAGGAATAAGTTTCCGAAATGTTTGAATCTTCTGTAAATAAAAATGTTTTGTGTTTGGTCAACCATCTTTATCTTTATTATTACTTTTATCATATATTAATATTTTTGTGTTTAACATAAAACTGTTATGTGAAAAGGACTCCCCTTTTATGTGTGCACACATATGGAAATCATGCAATAAATATTCAAAACAAATTATTTCAAACAACGATTTCTTTACACAGAAAGTTTCAAATAATCATAATCTGTGATAAAAAGCCCTTAAGTGGTTAATTATAATTAGTTATGAAAGATATTTTGCACTGTTGTCTTAGCATTTGGATTTGGGACTAACTTAAATCACATAATCTCATGAAGTGTTACTGGGATGATGTCCAGCAGTGAAGATACCCAACTGATAATTCAATACAGTCTTATCGTAGTAGAAATCTTTAGTTTTCTGGCATATTGATTTATATTATAAAATATTTATATATTATTTGTTTATATATGATTGTCTTCATTAATTCAAATGTTATTTTTAAATTATTTCAGTCCTGATATATCTAGTTAGATTATTTTAGAAAAGGTTTTTAATGAATTAACTATTACTTCTCTTACCTATCTGGAGTAAGTTCAGCAAGGAAGTTCTCCACAGCAACAACAATTTGGAATGGTTGAACCAAACCCTGTTGGTGAAGATAATTGATTCTTTCTTCAGCACCCTTCACTCCAGCAGAAAATCCAATGGGTTGGGAAGCAATAGTTTGAGCTTGTGCTGCAATTCCTTTAACGCTTGCTCGACCAAACACCTGCTGGAAAGCCTCTCTAATTGGTGAAACCTTTACTTCTTTGTCCGAGGCAACTACTACGTCAATGTCCCCTCCAGAATCTGCATGTGCATAACAACATATATGTATATTTAGCTGGAACACAACACTCCAATCCAACTTAATGTCCCCTCCAGAATCTGCATGTGTATAACAACATATATGTATATTTAGCTGGAACACAACACTTCAATCCAACTTAATGTCCCCTTCAGAGTCTGCATGTGTATAACAAAATATGTATATTTAGCTGGAACAGAACACTTCAATCCTACTTAATGTCCTCTCCAGAGTCTGCATGTGTATAACAAAATATGTATATTTAGCTGGAACACAACACTTCAATCCAACTTAATGTCCCCTTCAGAGTCTGCATGTGTATAACAAAATATGTATATTTAGCTGGAACACAACACTTCAATCCAACTTAATGTCCCCTCCAGAATATGCATGTGTATAACAAAATATGTATATTTAGCTGGAACACA